TCCTTAGCCGCTACGTACACCAAGCCCACCACGGCGACGATGGCTGCCCACAGGTTTTGACCAAACCACGTGGCAGTATTAGCCAGAGTGCTCAGCAGCCACGAGAAGATGCTTCCCAGGATTCTGGGTAGGGCTTCGGCGGCCTTACCAGCCAGTTTAGCCAGGGCCGCCCCGAGGGATTTCAGGTGTTTTTCTATCCAGTCTTTGACGCCACCTGTGGGTGTTGGTGTACCACTGCCGCCGGCAGGCGTGGGGGTACCCCCTGTCAATGACACCACCAGGGTTGATATGATGAAGACCAATGCAGTTAGAATGCTGGCGATGGTGATCCCTTGCTCCCGGAACAGGATCCGAATCCTGTCAGCTAACGTGATGTCTTGGTAGAGGACTCGATCAACGGTTTCCCGCGCACGGCTGACCTGGGATTGAAGCTGGTCTCGGAAGGAGGATGCTGTTTCCAGACGGATCTTCCTTTCCTCTTCCAAATTACGTAGATGGTGGCTTTCAGAGACTCGTCCTCCGTTTCACCGAGTTTGACCTTTTCATGGGTGATGTGGTCGTCTATCGCGTCCAGTTTGGCCGTGTTGTTCACGAGATATCGCGAATGGTTTGCATGGCCTTGTCCAGCCCCCGCGAAGTTCCCGAGCGGTAAATTCAAACCGGGTAAGGGTTGGTTATGGTAGGTGGCCAACAGCTTTTCAATGTTATCTGTCATGTCTTGATCTGATGTGTGCCCTGACGTCTTTGCAGATCTTGAGCGGCCTCCTGGGGAAGCTTTAGGCCGTCGCGCCCGTAATCTATGAAGCCTAGTTCATCGCTGATAAAGTCACCCCATATGGCGACTGCCAAGTGTTGATAAAGACAGCGGTTCTCTCTTGCGGCTTATTCATGAGGGTCGATATCGAGGCGTCCCTCAATCACAGCGTGCCCTTGCCATCAACAAAAACTTGGAATAGTCTCGCCCCACAGCTCTGCGTAATTTTATCCCCTTTTTAAACCATGCAGTAAAACCCGTTGGCGCCCGCCTTAACGAAGTTCGTTGCCTTTAGCGTGAATGTGGTGTCATCCTCGAGCATACCTGGGCACTATCATCCTACATATCATCCATAGGGATGTACTCAGCCATTATTTAGTATTAAAACTTATATATTTCATTTATATAACAATGTATGGTAGAAAACTAGATCCTTTCAGAAGATCAAAGAGAGCCACTTAGGGCGTCAGAGCCGCGGCGCCAGTCGGTGACCATCACCAACAATCCCAGCAAGATAGACCAGAATCAAACGCTGCTGGTTAGATTCCCAAACCTTGGCAAGAATGACCTCATTGTACCAGGCGCGGTTCGACTGGCGTTGAACCTCATGCTGACCTCCGACAACAACAAACACGAGCTAGTGCGGAGCGTAGGTTGAGCCATCAAGAAAACCACCATCAAGATCAACGGTAACGAGGTACTGACCATCGACGACAGCGACGTCTTTCACTGCTACTGGGACCTCTGGAAAAGCGAGGGAGAACGCGTCAATGACGTGTATCAAGGTATCAGCAAATCGACCCGGTTGAGCATGGGGTATTGCTTGACGGCAGACCAGCTAGACAAGATATTAGACGTTGACAAGGCCATTGCCCAAGCATACGGGAACAGGTTATGCGTGCCGCTCGACTTCGAGTTGCTCACGGGACACGCGCTGTTTTACCAGGCCGCGCTGGGTGATAGGCGTTGACAAGGCCATTGCCCAAGCATACGGGAACAGGTTATGCGTGCCGCTCGACTTCAAGTTGCTCAAGGGACATGCGCTGTTTACCAGGCCGCGCTGGGTGATATGGGCGAATCACGTTCTAGCGTTTAACGCTACAGCAAAGTAGTCGTCTCGCGAGAAAGCGCCGATGAGGCCAGTTACACCATAGACAACATCTCTCTGGAGTTCGACATGGTCACTAGCCCGGAGCTGGCCAGGCAGGTTCGAAGCCAGTACTCGGGGAAGGTGGCCATCCTGTACGATCGCATACTGAAGGCATAGATCAGTCGTGCGGGATAAAGGCGACACTGTGTGGAATATCAACCTGAATGTGCGGCGGGATCGATGAAAGGCATTCTATGCCGTTCCGTGGAGGATTACGCGCCGTTCGGAGGACAGCGAAGTTTTTCAACCCCAAGATTGAATAGGTGGAAGTGACCATCGAGGGCGTGCCCAACCAGCTGTTCAGTCATGGTATGAGGGCATACCAGCAGTGGGATGAGATAAAAAAGCTACCGGCCATCAAACAACACCCATACATAACCAAAAACCTGGACGTATCCTCCGTGCACATTGGTGAATACCTGACCAACAAGTACGCGCTGTGGTTGGACATGCGCACACGGATGACGATAAACTGCACGGTAGCAGTCGCCGCATAGACAACGGCAGCGAGGGGATAACAATCCAGATTACCAAGAAGGCTCAACCCGCTGGCAAGTTGGAATTATATTTGTACTTGATTATGGACGCGCAACTTAATATAGACAATGGGAAATTCGTGCAAGCCATCTACTGATGGCGGCAATCCATTTATTGATTTGCCCCGCGACCCACACTGCGCCATAGTGTGCGGGCAGACTGGTTGTGGGAAGACCGTTTTCGTGTTGGATATGTTGGAGGGGTACTACAGGGATGTATTCGACAACATCGTTATCATGTGCCCTACTCTGCAAATGAATAATATGTACAGGGAAAGACCTTGGGTGATGACAGACCCGGACGTACACAGAGTCGACCCGGGAACACGTCTGCAGGACTGGTTGAAAGCGTACCATATGAAATTTAAAGGGGAGTCGACGCTGTTCATACTGGACGACTGCAGTGCTAATCGCGAGATAACAAAAAAAAGAGACATGCTATCGTACCTGGCCTTCTCTGGCCAACACGCAAATCACAGCGTCTGGGTGCTAATGCAGAAGTTCAACTCGGTGTTGAAAGACCTCAGGGAGCAGACGCAATGGGTGGCCTTATTTCACTGCAAGGACAGGGATTCGTTCGAGGAGTGTTTGAGAGAGAACGATGTGATGAGCAAAATAAAACGGGAACGTGTGAAGAAACAGCTTGCTGAAACTAAACATGCTAAGCTCGTGCTCAAGACCGACCAACCCGTGGCCTATAGGGTGTTTTAGCATAGCAATGCTAAGTTAAGCTTAGCAAAAGCTTAGCAAAGCTTAGCAAATGCTTAGCGTTTAGCACTTATCAGTTATAGTTATAGTTATGGTTGTTTCTGAAGTGTTCGTCGTGTGCAACTTAACCTTCATTTCTCTGTGTTTCTCCTATACCGTATATTATATAGTTAAAATTAAAACTTGCTTGTTACATTATAAGATGGAGTGTGATGAACTGCTCGAACAACTGTTGGTGCCACAATCACCACAGGTGAGTGACGACAAGCGAGAGAAACTGGTGGCGTTGGCTGTTGGTGGCAAAGCCAAACATTACTTTAGAGACTACAGTCACGATAAAATTCACAAAATGTCAACCGAAGAAATCGATAAGCTGTACGCTAGATACGAGGCTAGACTCGGGGCCGAGATGACGAAGACTATAGGATCGGCTATGACCCAGATATACATTGGTATTGTGTCATACTTCCTTCCCATCCCCCCGGAGCGCCGACTTTACCAGTGGGAGGCCCTCGACAATGACCATTTTATTGAACACGCCTTGAGCTCTATCAGCTGCGTGCTGTATCACAAATACGGTATGTTGTTAGCCGCGATGACGGCGGCGATTATCACGGCAAAGCATTGCCAATTTAAGGAGGGGAAAAATAATAATAGTATAGATGGATACTGCACAGGAGGAGACCCCTCAACTGGGGGAGACCCCACCCCAACTGGAGGAGACCCCGCAACAGGGAGGAGACCCCACCTACAGTCACCAGACAGAAGAATCCTAAGAGAGTAGCTGCCGGTCAAAAAAGGTGGTGTCACCAACATAAAAGTATCACGGTGAACCCGACTTGACTCTTGTTGGTTGTAGGCGCAACTGCTGCCGTGGCTATCTCATGGTTATATACACGACACATGGAGAAACCCCCGCAATTAGAGGTCAACCCACATATCATGCAATAAAATATATATTTTTATATCATATACATAATGTCTGAGGGGAAAACGTTCGTCAACCACGCAGACCACGCCACCGCGGTCGCCAGTCTAGCCGTAGGGTACGCTCGGTTGACCCAAATGGTGCTTAAACAACTGACTATCAAGCTAGATTTCAACCTGCAGGATATGGGTATGCTCATATTGAACCTTGGTATGGCGATGGCCACAAAGGACATCCTAGTAAAACAAGGGATACTACCTGAAAATATTATGAAGTGAATATAGGATGGCTACGATTGCCATGATGGTCCGTGGGGCGTTAGTAAATGCCCTGGCATTTTCCGGGAGTAATTTCCTCTTCGAAACTCTGGCGAGAGTCACCGCGGCTGAGATTCAGGCAGAAGCGTAAGAGGCATGACCTCGCTATTGAGAAATTACAGGCGGCACAATCCGAGTACGCGAAAAAACGTCTCCAGAGGATCGATTACATTGACGAACAACTCAGGCGTGAGAACCATGCCGTTCAAACATTCCACGATGTCGACGACACAGCGAGAGAATACTACCTACTAACAGGTAAACAGCTGAAACCACTACATAAGCCCACACTCGCTCTGTACTACACTCCATCCAAGCGGCAAATGGACCATGAACTGGTATTCATCGCGCTGGGTATAGCAGCGACTGCGTTGGTTGCAAAACAATTAGACCAAGTACTCATATAAGTATGCTAAAGATGAGACCTGCTCCATACCGATGCGAATACATACTTATGGGGAAGAAAGAAGCCTGTGGTAGGAGATGCAGGACTGAGGGGTACTGTTGTTTCCACATGGGAAGGACTAACTACACGTGTTCTGTGTATGGTATAGGGGTTAAAGGGCACTACTGCCTATGCAAAGCTCACGGAGCAAACGTAGTCAGACATCATCTCATCTACGAGAATAAAAAGGCCTACATAAAAGAACGTAGGCGCCTCCTCAAGATAAGTCCCCAATTAGAGACTGTGAACACCTAGGTATAACTATGATTTTGGAAATTGAGCCCAGGAAAAGTTGCCTGAGAAGCTGGCAGATGGATGTGGGGAAAAGTATAGATATCAGTGTTCTCAAACCCATGATTGTTGGTGAACTATATAAGGGGTGCTCGTTTACAATCATGGTGAAAGTAGGGTTTGATATGCCATGGGCTGGGCACACTTGGAATTACTTTGATGGGGGGCTAGTAGATGTGCATGGGGAGATAGATATACTTGTTGACAACTCATTGCAAGTAATACAAAACACCCTACTATGCTGCGTATGTTCCGGGTGGGTCGAGGGAATAATTGATAAGGTGTATCTAGATATTTACTAAAGCGCCTCACTATATTTTTTATCAAGGTTGGAGGAGTTACTTCCCTTGCCGGCGGTCCAATTAGAGATTGATATACCCGGTGTGTACGCAACTATGACTACTATTCGCTGAGCTCAAAGCAGATCGCTTGAGGCAGAGAGTGTGATTGGTTACTCTAGGATGAGGAAATCAGCCTTGTTGAGGTTACTAGGCCTAGAAGCCCCTAACCGCGGTAAAAGCGGCAAAAGCCCAAGCGAAGAGCTTGGGTTCACGGGTTATTCCAACCTGGGAGAGCGGGTTAGTAAAAGCATTGTTATCACATGACCCGTAGAGCAAAACCTCACACTGTAAAACAATTAAAAACCGAGGTACGCAATTTGGGGTTAGGTGTATATTCCCGTATGAGGAAACCACAGCTTGTAGAACTATTACGGCAGAATAGAGCTATTGACCTACAGTTCGTACCCACTGAGCACGCTGTAGGCAACTATTTGAGAGGCTGGCGCATGCATGTTGATAGGAACATAGACATCACAGATATCAAGCCTCTGATAGCTGATAAAGTCAACCAGGAACTAAACAATCTGGAAAGTATAAAGTTTCAGATCACAGTGAAAATGTCACTCAGCAGGTGGGGGTAACCCCCACTGGGGTCACTGAGTACGTTCAGCCTTACTTTCGAGGTAAACAAGAAGTCGTCACGCATACAGAGACCATAGACGCATCAATCGATACCAGTTTTCAGCAGATACGAGAATACCAAGAACGCTACACACACTTGGGGTCTGGGTGGGTTGTTGATAAAATCGATAATGTCTATCTAGACATAGCTAACTACGTGCCGTTCAGAGGCGGGTCATACCTAGACTTGCCACCCTACTATAAGAAAAAACAGGCCATGGTCAACGTCAAGAATAGAGGAGATGATTGCCTGAGGGTAGCTATCAGGTCAGCCTTGTATCCAGTTGACACTCATTCAGACAGCCTTTCTAGCTATCCCCAAGACGATGGGCTCAACTGGGATGGTATAGATGAGCCCACCCCCATATCTCAGATCACTAAAATAGAAAAACAGAACGATATAGCCATAAACGTCTTTGGGCACGAAGGTAACAACAATAGTGCACAAGGTCAGTCAGTTGGGGGGACCCCAACTGTTGGGGGAGGAGCGTCGCCGCATTATCAATATATTCATGATCCAACGAGGTGAAAAGTATCACTACACCTTGATAAAACATCTCAGCAGGCTATTGCACGACCAGTCGAAACACGTTGGGAAAAAACACTTTTGTGTGCAATGCCTGCACGGTTTCAGCCGAGCTCATTTATTAGAATCCCACCGGGAGGATTCCCAAGGTGTGGAGCAGACGGCCATACGAGTCGACATGCCTAAGGAAGGTGACAATATCCTAAAATTCGACAACCACAAGAACCAAATGTCTGTTCCTTATATCATCTACGCCGACTTTGAAGCCTTGGTCAAACCAGTTGAGGTTGCCGGGGGTACCCCAACCACACAAAAAACCAAAGAGCATGAGGCTTGTGGGTTTGGATACGTTGTCGTCCGGTGTGATGGGAAAACGAAAGCTCCCGTAGTGTACAGGGGTCCCGACGCGGCTGAAAAGTTTCTAAAGTGTTTGCAGGAAGAAGAAAAAATTATTAGGAATGCACTGTATACAGTCGCTCCCATGCGTATGACCCAAGCCGACCGGCTAGGTCATGCCTGTAGCACTAATTGTCACGTGTGCGACTCACCACTGAACGGTGATTGGGTGAGAGATCACTGCCACATAACCGGTAAGTATAGAGCGCGCGCTCACGATCGCGTGCAACCTCAAGCTTGAATCAACCCCAAGACAATAAACATCCCGTGGTCTTTCTCAACCCGAGAAGTGTACGACACTCACTTGATCATGCAGGCCATCGCGAAAATTGATGGCAACCTAACGTGCATCCCCAACAACATGGAGAGATACATCTCCTTCAGCTTAAACGGCCTGAGGTTCATCGACTCGGTTCAGTTCCTCCTATCGTCACTCGACAGTCTTGTCAAGGCCAACGATACCTTCCCCATCACCAATCGATACATCGACGCCAAGACTAGACCCCTGCTGATGAGGAAGGGTGTGTACCCCTATGAGTACATGGATGGCTGGGCCAAGTTCGCCGAGACCAGACTACCCCCCATCAGAGAATTTTACAGCAACCTGACCGACTCGGCAATATCCCAAGACGATTACTCACACGCTATTAACGTATGGAATAAACTGGGCTGTAAGAATTTGGGTGACTATCAGCTTAAACGGCCTGTTGTTTGTAATGCCTTGGGGTATTCCATTCACGACCTATACTTGAGGACAGATGTACTGCTGTTAGCCGATGTGTTTGAGACGTTTAGGCGGACATGTTTCAAGCAGTATAAACTCGACCCAGCATGGTATTACACCAGCCCAGGTCTGTCGTTGGATGCCTTGCTTAAAAAGACCAGAGTTAAGTTGGAATTGCTCACAGATTACGACATGCCCCTATTCATTGAGAAAGGCTTGCGAGGTGGGATTTCCATGGCATCCAAACGATACGCGAAAGCAAATACTCAATACGTGAAGGGCTACGACCCGAGCAAGCCAACCAATCATATTCGCTACCTCGATGCCAACAACCTGTACGGCTGGGCCGTGAGCCAGTATCTACCCACAGGGGGATTCGAATGGGCATCGCACGAGGTCGATGTTATGAGCATTGCACCAGATTCGAACAAAGGTTATATCCTCAAGGTTGACTTGGAATACCCCAAGGCATTACACACATCACACAACAGCTACCCCCTGGCCCCCGAACGTATGAGGGTTAACCCAGACTGGATGTCTGAGTACCAACATAACTTGTTAGGTGGGCGGGTGGCAGACGTTGTAAAACTTGTGCCAAGCTTAATGAATAAGACCAAGTACATCGTTCACTATCGCAACCTACAGCTGTACCTGTCGTTGGGTATGAGGCTGACCAAAATACACAGGGTGCTCGTGTTCAACCAGAGCCCCTGGATGGAATACCCATCAGAATGAACACAGACCTCCAGCTTGCAACCAGTGACTTTGAGAAAAATCTCTACAAGCTCATGAACAACTAAGTGTTTGGTAAGACTATGGAGAACCTGAGGAAACGCGTGACCGTAAAGCTGGTTGGGTCGAATGAGGAAGACAACCTCAGGAGACTGATAGCCAGTCCGGCATTCAACCGTAGCAAGATATTCACCGATGACCTAGTTGCCCTACACATGAAGAAAAGCCACATAAAATTCAACCGACCTGTTTACGTGGGGGTGAGCATCCTCAATTTATCCAAACACCTGATGTACGACTTTTACTACAACGAGCTGAAGAAACAGTACGACGACAGGTGCGAGTGCTGTACACTGACACGGATTCCCTGTTGATGGAGATTCGAACCGAGGACGTGTACGAGGACATGAAGAAACGCCTCGATTTGTACGACACCATCGACTACCCCAAGGATCATGCCATACACAGCACGGTAAATAAAAAGGTCCTAGGTAAGATGAAGGACGAGTGTGCTGGCACGCCCATAGCCGAGTACATAGGGTTGAGGCCTAAGATGTACTCCATCCTGCAAGCCGACAATGGCGAGATCCGGAAGGCGAAATGTGTTAAGAAGTACGTGGTGAAACAACACATCAAACATGCCAGATTCAAGGAAGCCCTGTTCAAGACCCGTACCTTTAGACATAAAATGAACACACTGAAAAGTGATGGGCATAGGATATACGGACTGACTATACACAAGACGTCCCTGTCGCCGATGGACACCAAATGTTGGATAGCTATTGATGGGATCAACACGTACGCGTACGGGGATGAGAAAATTGAACCAAGAACATAGGTGTACATATTGGGATGTCGCGGAACCAGAGAAAGTTCGAGGCTATTTACTACAGCCCGCGTGGGTACTGGAAAGCAGCTAGCGCTGTACATAAGCTGGCTAAAATGGCACGAGTACCCACGGAGGAGGCCAAAGCGTGGCTTGAAAAACAAGCCCTGTGGCAGATCTATTTACCGGCACCACGCTACATGCCTAGAAGGAATGTCGGTATTAACATACCCAATAGCGTTCACCAGGCCGACCTCCTATTCCTACCCCACGATAAGAGGTACAAGTATGCCTCGTGGATGTGGCCAGTCGCTACAAGGAAGCCGAACCCTTGACCACGAAAGACTCGGCCCAGATAGCCCGAGGATTCCAACGCATATACAAGCGCAGTCCGCTGACGTGGCCAACAGAGCTGCAAGTTGACCCCGGGCGGGAGTTCATGGGTGTTGTGTCACACCTGTTAGACAAACATGATACAAAGGTCAGGCGTGGCACGGCAGGAGCCCATCGCAGCCAAGCCATAGTTGAGAGATTCAATAGGACTTTGGCTGAGCGCTTATTCGGACATCAGTATGCGAGAGAGATGGCCATCCCGAAGCGATCGACTGAATGGGTCGGTCTTGTGGCTACCTAAAGGTGGTGGTCGGCAATCAACCATGAAGCCACCCGTCTCACCGTCAAGAAACCGGCAGACGCTATCAAACTAAAATCAATAG